AGTTGGTGGGGAAATGGATACAGACTGGCCAATTTGATACTGTCTTACCCTCACCAAAAGATCTGCTTGGAGATTATAGACCAGTCACAATTCAAACTAGAAATGTAACATTTGCAAAGCAAATGCATATAGTGCTTACCTTGAACATGGTCTAGCCTAACAAACTACTGCTCTGTTTATTCTTTCTCAAACACATTCATGTATGCAACTTGCAACATAATATAACCCAACACCACAAGGTGTCTGCTACATCATCAGTTACCATGGTGACAGATGTCTGGTCCAGGTCATTGACCATATGAGTTTGGAGAAGAGGAAGAAACAGAGCAGAAACAATATATTTTCTGACTCAAAACTCAAGCATGGGCAAACTCAAGCATAGTACATTTGTACATTTGCAATTAACTGTTTCATCTTTGAAAAACTCAACATTTTCATGATCTCATTAAAGAATTAATCAAATCACTGCATCTACATTTCAGTCCTTTAGCTTTGAGTTGACTTTCTGACCTTTTATCAGTTCACCTTTATTATTTGTTAATGATAATGTTTTGCCATTTTATGTCAGGGTTATCTCCCCACAAATTCTTTTAAAACCACCAGTAGGCAACAAGGATATCCTGGTTAATTAGTAAACAAACAAATAACAAACATTTACGGCAACAAGCAAGAGAAAACATGAAGCTTTACAAACCCAAATGTCCACCTTGTCATCTATAATACAGTGACTTTCCACATGGAAGAGTTCAGGAGCTCTCCAGGGCATGGTGCACTTGGCAGCTGCTAGATCCTGAAAAAATATTCAGATTTTTCAGCACACATTATGAATGAAACACATGCTGTACATGCTAAAATGAAACTTCAATGCAACTTAAAGTACATGTATGTAAACAACTTGCAATTGTGGGATCGTGAGGTGTAAATGGGGTATGGGTCCTGGGTTCAAATCCACCAACATGCCCCAATGTTGTGCCCTTTGGAAAGGCACTTAACACAAATTTCCTCACTTCACAGTTGAAAATGAGTACCTAGCTTCAGTTTGGGGAGAACTAAGTAGCACGTGTAGTCCAGTGGTTAGCGACCCTGCCTCTGGACCAAGAGGTTGGGAGTTCGAATCCCGGCTGTTGTCGCTCACCTGACATGCACACTACTAAAAAGTGCAGTCCCTTGGACAGGATGTCAAGTTGTGGTCCTGTGTTCAATGTGCTTGTCAAAAAGAACTAGGGGAATTATGTCTTCTCTGTCATGACCAGTGGGAGATTAGCTCTTCAGTGAGCTGGGTCGAGATCAAGTGAATCTTTGATTGAGATTGAATCTTTGATTGAGATTAAAGATTCGCTTTCTTTCACTTTTAGACCACACCCATACTCGAATGGAGACCTTAACAAAACAAACAAACAAACAAACAACAACATTTAGAGAGAAGTGTACACATGTGTGATGAAACTTACCTGCATGGCTTGAGCTTCTCCTGACCCTTTAATCTCCACCCTGGCTGGACCCATGGACCCAAAGTCCATCAGAACGGGGGTGTCGTTCTCATCTAACAGGACATTGGCTGGTTTGATGTCTCTGGATTAAAAAAACATTTCAAAAGAAATAAAAAACACATTCAGTTACGTCATTGTAGAACCTGAAAGTAAATGAAAGATTCTATATGCCATAAAAAAGTAACTCAGGCAACTGCATAAGATTTTGGAAAAAGTTGCTTGAGTTACTGTTTTTGGCATATCTCATTACCTGGATGTCTAATTATCATTGACGTATAAAAATGTTTTAGTACTTTCTTTTCTATGCATATACAGCATTGCATAATTTTTGCACAGAGAAAAAATTTTCAAATATTGCTACATTCTTCTGTTCTAGATTATCTGTAGAATATGGGCTATAGTCAATATGCCATTTCCCAATTTGCAATTTCTAGTAAAATACACTTGAATGATAATAACACCAAAATACCAAAAATACACATTGTGGACACAGCTTTTTTGAAAAATGGTAACTTTTCCTCATTGAGTGCTGAACAAAGTGTCCTACTCCCCAACCTGATTGTGTGGGCATGGCCATACCATACCCTACCATTGTAACTTCTTCTCAATGACTGTTGAACAAAGTGTTCTAGACCCACCTATGAGTGACCGGTGCAGGAGTGGCCTCGTGCATGGCCTTGACCCCTTCACAGATGCCCTTGAAGATGCCCAGTAGTCTGTCCTCATGGATGTGTCCATTGTTCTTGGCCATCTTCTCAATCAGGTCTTGTAGAGAACCCAGCTGCACATTCAGATACAGATTCAAGAGCACGTAGAAAGTTGAGTAGTACTTTTCCCTTAACTACAGTAACTGTAATTCCCAATTTTTCAATGTATTTTTTACATTCACAGTTCTCACTGCAACTTCTGTAAAATGGACTAGTCATTACTGCCAACTAATATTAATATAATTCCTTGACTTTCTTTTTTCTGCACATGTTGCCACCACGAACAAATAGTTTTGTGATCATGTCCATTTTTGTCATACTGTGAAATTTTACTAACGTGAACATAAAGTGAATTACAGTATAATTGTATAGGACTTAGAACATTTAATGAAATAGTTAGCTTTATAATTAGTTCATATGAACTGATTTTTCATATTCTACAGGTATAAGTTACTATAAGGTCATCAGTGATTAACTTTGAATGCATGTGGCTCATATCAGGCATACATATCACATGTGGGAAGTGACTATTTGCAGAGAGGCCAAAAGAGACTTGGCAGCTAAAGTAGGTTTGATAGCCAGGCTAAGAACTAACAGCAACAAAGTACAAGGCAAAAACAGAACTCTCTAAAGAATACAGTATCGAATATGTTCAAACACACCCACCTTGTAAAATGGGAAAACTATCCATACAGATGTGGACTGGGTTTTCTTGACTGTTGTAAACTCCTCAACCTGGTGAAAGTAAAAACACAAATTTTACATTTGAACACACATTCACAAACATTTACATTTGAACCACTTCCTTTTCAATTATCCACGATTCCTCAAGATCATGCAACCTCCAAACTTTTGATGGCATGACAGTCTTTGCGTAATTTAAAATAGCGCTGGCTGGGTCTACTAGTATACTATAGGACTGTCTATTGTGTAATTATGGGTGGCAATTTTGCTGCGGTTTTCTTGTTTTCTGTTTTGGCATGTCAAAAAGCCTTTGTATATAAGAAGACAACCTGTCTAAGAAGACCACTTTTCTTCGGTCCCATGGGTGGTCATCTTAGACAAGTTTGACTGTACTAAAAAAATGCAAACCTTGATGATATCATGAAAGTTCATCTGTGTTGGTAGTTACATGTTTAGAGTTAAAACTTCACACTTCAGAGAAGCCACGTGACAAGCCTCACTGGGTCAGTCTACTGAAGAAGACCAGAGTGACAGGTAGAAGTCTAGGTGGGAGAACTTTTTGTCTTGTCTTTCCTTTAATGCCCACAACACAATCATCATACTGATCATTCTGGCATGCCAATTCTTGGCAAGACTCCGGATTGTAGAGTTTGTACCATGGCACACCGGGGCATGCCCCTACTCTTTTTCGAAAGGAGTGGTGGGTTCTTTAACATGTGTGGGGTGTGGCTCTCCCCAAACACGGGACCTCCATTTAACGTAATATCCGAGGGACGTCCCTAACCGAAGCTAGGTACTCATTTACACCTGAGTGAAGTGAGGAAAGTCGTGTAGAGTGCCTTTTCCAAGGGCACAAGATCCGTGACATGGGTGGGGATCGAACCCGGGACCTCTAGGTCCTGAGCCGAACCTGCTACCGCTGCGCCACACGACCCCACTTTTTGTGTTGGATCTAAAGTTTTAACTCTTAACAAACCTTGATGATATTGGGGTGGTCAAACATTCTACAGTACTCTGCTTCTCTCAGTGCCTCAGTCTCATCCTCCTTGGAATGACACGTGATCCTCTTCAGAGCAAAAAACTTCCCAGATTTCTTGTCTTCTATCAGATCTATGTAGGCATAACCCCTGGAAATACAAAAAAATACATCACTTAGATCACACAATCAATCAATTTTTATTCAAAAGATTCGCAAAGTCATTCGCAAGACATTATAATAAGAAACGTAAAAATAAGAAAGAAAAAAGGAGAAAGAAAGAATGATGATATGTCATCAAATCTTTTTATCTGATTACCCTTGTTTAAATATGCAAGAAAAGTTGTCAATTTTTATTCTGCTCCAAACATGTAGGAATAAAGGAAAGAAAGAATGAAAGAAAGAATGGGAGAAAGAAAAGAAAGATCCTTAGTACAATGAACGATATGTCTTTTCTTATGAACCTTTGGACATACAGTACATAAATACATCATTAATTATCGTCCTATAATTATTATAATCAAAATATTCAGTGTGTTTATTTTTAAACTAGAATCATAGAAAAATTAGTTCCTACCCTTCTCCAATCCTTTCCTGCATGTAGAAGGCCCTGTTGTTGATGGTGACCAGGCCCTTGCTGCAGTAGCAGCCCATGGTTGCCAAAAACTCCGTCAGTTCTGTGGTTCCCGCCCAACTCCAACACCTCGCGACAGCTGACTCTGTTTATGTTTTGACACGTGTACTTGTCAGTGGGAGGGGGGCAGACCAAATTTTACCTCAACAATCCAGGACACTTTTGCGAGCTAAAACGGCGATGTCCCTCACTGAAATTTATGCCACTAAACCAAGAGTTCCCCTAGAGAGTTGTCTTGTCGTGATAACTGTCATTGTTTTCAATTTACATAAGAAAACTGGAAAAGATTAAAAAGTTGCGTCTATTTACCCCCCGGCGCTGCCATGTTTAAAAGGCATGACGGGTAAAATGGGTCAAAGGTTAGGGTTTTTTTCTTCGCGTGGCTGTGGACAGATTGTCGTCTGAAATTTTGTCAAATTCGGTGATCTAAACGCGGTCAGACATGCTTGCTGAGCCGAGACGGCGTCAAAAGTGGTCGGCTGATCCGCGAGGGGCCGCCTGGAGCAACGATGACTCCAAGTTTGGTCAGAAGATGCTGGAGAAAATGGGTTGGCAGAAGGTGGGCATGTTGGTGCACGTGTGCATCTGATCGTGGGGAGGGGGGCGGTTTTATGCTGTGAGTTTAAGTAGTTTTTGGGCATCATAACTCAATCCCAGTACTGAGAAAACGTTGTTAGAGTTGTGAAGTTAACCAGGAAAGAGGTTGTGCAGATATCAAGATATAGATTAAAATTAATTAACAATATCACAGGATTTAAAGTTAAAAGTGTTGAAAATGAACTGTTATAAGAAAAAAATTATGTTCTAGGAATCCTACCTTTTGGTAGAGTGGCATAACTACAACAGTCCTGCACATTAGTTCATAAACATCTATCTCTAAATAACCCCAAGTCAACCAACTTTGCTCTATAATGGCTTCGATGGCTAAACAGTTTAAATGATCACTGCAAAAGCAAATGTATGACGTTATTTGATTTAATAAACTTACTGTAATTTTTTATCCACCCCAGGGTAAGGGCCTGGGTGCCAAGGAGGACGGGATGACCCAACATGTGAAGGCCTCCCGTAAGTTTGACCAGACCGGCCTGGGGTGCAGCGCTGACCAGGCTGAGAACTGGATAGCTCATCAGGAGGACTTCGATGCACTTCTGGCAGGTCTAAATGCCAGTCATGGAGCCACAGGCAACGGAGAGGTAAGTAGGCCTTGAGTAGGCTAAAAATCACCTGTGAAACAGTGGCTTTTGTTACATGTTTCTTGTATTAGTGAAGAAAAAATACGTTCCTACCATTTGGTAGACTGGCCGCATAACTACCACATCTTTTGCATTGCCATCTTGACAAAAGAAAGTCAAGATGGCGATGCAAAAGAGGGACTTTCTTTACACCTTCCTCGGGGCAATTCTGACTGCTTCACATTTGGTTCCACTGCTATAGATACGTTCCCAAACGTATATATCTACACCTGAGGAAGATGCCAGTCACCAAACTATGCTGTGTCAAGAGTCTCTTAAAAGACTTAATTCAGTGACTTACCTTTTAGTGCTCTTGAAGTGTGCCAATATGGTAACTTCCATGAATTTTAAAAAAGAACTATACATACATGTATGATGTCATACTGCCCAAGGCTTTACTAAAACATATTCCTTTCAGGCTGAATCGAGCACAAAGACCATCAGTATTGAGGAGAAGTCCAAGTCTTCGAAGAGGCGGGTTCATTACCACAAGTTTACCAGGGGGAAGGATCTCTCCAGCATGAGTCAAGCTGACTTAGCGTGCATCATGGGTAAAAAAGCCAGCCAATCAGAGCCAGTCACTCCCAACCAATCAGAGCCGGCTACACCGAGGAGCCAATCAGATGCTGAGGATGAGGACAGCGCTGCTTCCTGTCCACCAATGGACAATCATTATGGAGTAACCACCATCACAAAGTCTCAGAGCATACAGGATTACTTTGCACAGAAGATGGCAGAGTTAAAGAAGTTACGGTCAGGAGGAGAGGTTGAAAATCAAGATGGTGATGCTAAAGATGAAAGTTCAGAGCCTCAAGTTGAGAGCTCCTCAGAACGGAAGTCAAAGAAAAAGTCCAAAAAAAGAAAATACAAGGAGCAGGAAGATGAGAACGTCAGTTCTGAAAGTGAGGGGGTGAAAGAAAGTACTTCCATCAGAAAGAAAAAGAAGAAAGAACGCAAAGAAGAAAACAATGAGCTGCCTGAAATGGAAGTGACAAGTCAAGAAGACAGCCAGAAGAAAAAGAAGAAGAAAAGGAAGAAGGAGAAAGAACAAGAAGTTCTTGAGCAGCAACAGGAAGTTCTTGAGGAACTTGAAAGCAGTGAGGGGAAAAGAAAGAAGAAGAAAAAGTCTAGGGACACGGTAGAGAGCCTGGAAGATACGACACATGGTGAAAGTATTACATGTGAAGAGAGTAATAGTAAGAGCAAAAAGAAGAAAAAGAAAAGTAAGAAGGAAAAGTTACAAGATGATTAACTTCTTCACTGATATGTCCCTTTAGGAATTATAACTCAGATATCTCTGATGTAAGCCCCAGTAATACACTACTGTATCTCAGGGGTTGTCTTGCATGGGCAGTCTCATATGATCTACACCATCTAGCAATGACATCTATTGAACTTGAAATGAACTGCAGCATTATGGTCTTTTCCAATGATTTTACTCAACATGGCTAGACTAAAGCATCGTGACTGGTATGTGGTTCCAAAATAAATGTACATGTGTCTGTAACTATTCCAACATAATTAATTACATACATTAGTAACAAATATTATACCCTATAGGCCTCTTGAAACACAGATTTCACTGTTGCAGAGCTCAAGTGATTCATAGAACGTGTGCATGATTCACTTGTGTTTATGATAACTACAACCTAGCAATGTTTGGAACAAAAATGCATTGAATGGATTTCTATGGTGTAATTCAGAATGTGGATGAGATGAATTCATTAAACGAGGTATTGTGTGATGAAAAGAGAAAATGGAATAGCTGCTTTCCTTGCATGATGTTTACTTGTCTTAATTTATAATTACAGAGTTGCTATAGCTACATCAACATAGATACAGCACAATAGAAGCAATTATCATGGATAGCAAAGAAGAATCTATTGTATACTCTACCTTTCAAGGTTTGTGATGTAAAATACGATACTAACAATGGAGGAAGCATTGGTTGAATAGTACTTGTACTTTACATTAATATTATATGAAATAAGTAGGAAATTGACTTTGTAAGAATATTGTGTGATGAGTCTTCATGAAATTTTGAATGGTACCTTAAATTGATTTATTTCACTGAATAAAAGTTGACATAATCTGTATTTTGTTGAGACTTGGAGTACATTTCTGTTATGATTTTTCTTGTTCAGGAAACTGTCCATACTGGTTAATGTAATCCCAATGATAGCTTACTACTATTTTGTATTTTAAGAAGGAAATCAACATTGAAAACAAACACCACAATGACTTCAACCTTGTTCTAGTACCTTCTCTTTACTTCACATACAACAAGTTCATAGATTTTGGAGACACCTGGCATTTCTCTTGAGTATACAAATTTTCAGGCATTTTTGTACATGTAAAACTGTTTGGGCCTATCATTTAGTCATTGTTGCACATAACCACAAAGTTACAGCAGCATTGTAAGACATCAGGAGTAACTAATGTACATGAAAATGTTGTACATTGGGCAGTACTATGTACCAGCACTGGTCAAGTCTTGTTATAATATAGCACATTGGTAACCTACGAGCTTCCAGTAATGTTACACTCCATTGCACTCTTACTTAGTCTTAACACAAAATGTATGATTGGGGAGCTGAAATTTACTCAATTTTATATTACATGTGGTTCAGTGGTTGAACATCAAGACAAAGAAATGCTCTCATAAATACAGGTACATACAGTAAACACTGCTCAGCAATGTCTCATTTGCCTAAAGATTCTTACAATAACATTTTTCACAATACTATAATTGCATCAAAGTCACCACAGGAAATATGTACATAATCAAATATTTTATCTATAACATTGATAGATATATTCTTTGACAACAAAAATCAAGGTAGATGCTTAAATTATACATGAGAGTAGCAATGCTTGATCCAGCATACCTTAGCACACTGATTTCAACATACACAATAGACAGCAACAATCAGCATTTAGCTAGAGAAAATTCACACAAAATGTGTAACTCTTAGACAAACTGAATATTTTCAAGGAAATGACATTTATATTTCAAAGGATTCTATGCACAAGACATACCTTCCTTTTACCCCACATGCAAAAGGCCTTTGTAGAGAAGCATACTTATGTAATATCTACTGTATCTAATAACATTATACACAAGCCTGGCTTTTAGCAGCATTAACAGGACATAGTACAATACAGTTTCGAAAGTCTGATGTACCAAGAATTTGTTTGTTTTATTTAGATCTCTATTACTTATGTGATTCTCCATAAGAATTGTTCTTACCACTGCGTCTCTCCTTCATAAACAATAAATAAACTAAAAGCACTAAATATAAACACACCTGGTAGAATTGCACTGACTTCGACATTCCACAGAAACTATCTACAAAGACGACTACACCCCTTCCCCGAAGGCATCCTTGATGTTCTGGAAATGTCGGATGGCCAGGTCGGTCGGAATGTGGAACTTGAATTCTGTAAGTCTGTTGAGGATTTGCAGCGCAGGGTCGAAGCTTGTTTTGGCGGTGAATCCCCAGGGTTGGTAGTAGCTAGTGATGAGCGGCGCGGTACGGACCACGAGGCGACACCACGAGACGATACGCCCCTGGTTGAGCGCGCAGCACACCCAGGCTTTCCACTCCGAGTCCATGCTTCGCTTCAGCGGGTCGTGGGTGCTCACGATATCGTGGATGGCACTGAGGAGGGTCTGTTTGGCCGTGATGGCCGTCCCGCCAACGATGTCCAGACTGAACGACTCGGAAAGCTTGCGTGCTGGCGAGAGGTTGTACTCGCGCCCGTGTTTCATCTCGTAGTATTTGACCAGCAGCTCCCACGCGTGCATCTTCCCCGGGGGCGGCGGCTTGCGCTGCTGGAAGCAGAAGTACGGCATGACGGCCTGGCTGAGACTCTTGCTCTGCCCGACCTTCATCAGACCGTGCTGGAACACGTCTCTCAGCGCCGGCGCCAGTTCTCTCCTCACAATGTTCGTGAGCTCGTCGCGGCCTCGTACCGGGCTCTCCGACGAGTCACTGAGGTAGTCGCTGTCGTCGGGGACGTCATTTCGCACCTTGGCCAGCTCGCAGACGTGACTCACAGCCTGGTCTAATGCCTTCAGCAGCTCGTCAAAGTTGTACTCGCTGTTTCTGTCCTCCGTGGGAATGATGTGGTCCTTGAAGAGGTTGGCGCCACAACCGAACTGACTGACGGCAAAGATCTGGAGAACGGTCAGCGCCCGCTTCATGATGGACAGGCTGGTCTCGCGGATCTTCTTCTGGGCCTCCTGTGTCGTCGCACGGAGCCGCGCCTGGCTGGTCTGTTTGGAAATCTCCGGACTTCCTCCTGTCACCTTCCCCTTAATCTGGGGAGGAGCATTTCCTGAAAAATACAACAAAAGCAACAGGTTAGAAATATGAACAATCTAAGATGGGTCACCGATTCTAGTTTCCCTGTGTACAAGGCTGAGGTACACCCTGTTTTGAACCCACCTACAATTTGTAATTATGAACAGGACAGAAAGTGGCAAATTGCTATTGTCTTGTCAGAGCGCAAAACAAACATTAAACCCAAGCAACCCTTCACATCAACGCTGACGGTAACGCAAAATTCTAACAATTTTCTAGCAAAAATCACCATGGACAGGTACACCCACCTAACCCACCCACCTTTCCTGGTCTCACCATGAACAGGACAGGTACACCCTCCTAACCCACCCACCTTTCCTGGTCTCACCATGAACACCCACCTAACCCACCCACCTTTCCTGGTCTCACCATGAACACCCTCCTAACCCACCCACCTTTCCTGGTCTCACCATGAACAGGACAGGTACAGCCCTCCTTCTCGTGTCCGATATCTCCTCCGTTCTCCTGAAGAAACTCGATGAACATCTCCAAGTCTGTTATCTGAGTCTTCAACTGGTGGATCACCTGTTCTTTCACCTGTTGGTAAGTACAAGGATGTGTTACAACTTACAGTAAGTATTAATGTAAAAGAGCTGAATGAAATGCATGTACAATGTATGTTGATTGTGAACGAAGTAAAAGAAGTCAGCATTGGAAAAGAATGCTAACAAATGAATTACTCAAAATGTATTTTCATAACCAAGAGGATTATTCCACCGACATTTCATGTGCAATGTGAACCAGTCAAAACGACAGACGGTCACCAAAATGTTGGATGAATAAACCTCTGGTTTGTCAAACAAAGGCGTCTAATTATTTGCTAAAAATTTTTAATTCAGAAATAAATATAGACATGTGTAGCACACTTTCACCTACAATACACCACATCAAAGTATTCTCTGTCCTCGCTTATTTTTTGAGATAACAATTTTGACAAAAAAAGGCCCCAGTGTCTCTGATTTCTTTCCTTTTTTCCTCTGCCATTTACAGGTGGTCATCACCATGCATAAGATTTACAAAAGCCCTAAACATTTCCTGGAGGTATGAGATCGCCAAATTCTAGTTTCCATTTATGTTCTAACATGTCCTGTACCTTAGCAGGGTTGACGATTTCCCCCACAGCATTGTCCACTCTGTGACGTAGCTCCTCAGTGGTCAGTTTGTCCAGCCCGTCGATGTCCAGGTCCATCTTACTGGTCAGCTGGTCAATGATGACCCTCTGTTTCTCCTGCATGACCGCTGTGGGCATGTCGATGGCCCCCTCCTTGTATGCAAAGTCTTCTAAGTCTTCCAGTTGATTCTGGGGGGAAAACAGATTAGGGATGGAATTGTGTTTAGGGCTCACATCTATACTAACAGAAAATTCGAACTCTATACTACTGGATAAATTCTGGAGATACATTCTGGACGTTTCAAGTGACATTCTTATTCTTATAGAATCATCACTATACAAGTCTTTGTCACATCATTTTTTCCAGTTCAAATGTGTTGACAATAGTTCATTAGTGATGATGAAAAAGAGTGGTGGATGTTACTCAAAATGCCTGGGAGTTATTTTAGTTTGTAATTTATTCAGTAGTGTAGTAGAGTTTGAATATGAGTATTGTTTACCTGTATGTTTAACATTTACCTATGTACACTATCTAATATTATGCCACATACATTTTTGCACAATCATGTATATATATATTATGTAGGTACACAGCCTGCCATATTTACTCAAAGTACACTGTAATTTACAGTAAATCTCCAATGAAATCTTGAAAAAAGACATAAAATAATTAATAGAAATCTGTGTGATATTGGGCCATAATTATATGCTGTAAATCCAAATCAAGCTAACACATCAATCCACATATCAAGTAATTGTTTGTGTGTGGGCTACTAGTGTTATAAAAACTGTGTTTAGAATAAGCCTTCAATTGATAATCATACACAACTGACATGCTGGATAATGCAACTAATAAGGACTCGGGAGCTTTGAAGCGAACAATTTACCTCCGTGACAACACTAATGAGCATCCTTTGGGGAGTCTGCCTCCTGTTTATACTGAATAACAATGAGTCTCAGTTAGGAAGGCCTGCATGGGGGAGTCCTGACGTTACGCTCTATGCTGAATTTTGAAAGCTGGGTACGTATAATCGTGCTGAATTCAAGAAGCCTCCCCATTACGTTTTACGATAAATTCTGGGTAGCTACAACACATTACGTAGTGTTGAAACGGCAAATTACGATCTACGCAAAATGTGTTAATTATGCTCTACGTTGAATTAGCGTGATCCGTCTACACTCTACATAGAATTAAAACGGCCGAATACGCTCTACGGAAAAGGACATATGGGCCCCCATTTACTAGTAGTTGAAGAAGTCGTAACAGGCTTTCAACTATAACATTGGCCTTATTCTTTGATTATTATTTTTAACTCTGTTAGTGTTGTACATGTACATTTGTTTTAGGAATATATGTCATTTTTCATCAACGTGACCTCCATTAATATGTCATAGTTCACCATACAAAAATTGCTAGCCATCAAAACCTGACACATTTGCCTTAGCAGCTATGTGCTTGGACACTGCTTGCGTCAAAGGTTCTGTTTACTTTAGAATACAGCCTTTCATGAACCAGGATACATTCAGAAGGGTCGGACATATCCTGACTCTACTGTATTGTATGTAAGAAGTCCTGTGTGACCAGCCCCAGCTGTGTACATATACTTCAGGCTTCATTTCCCTTACTGAAAGTTAAATACGGTTGAAGTAAGGTACGGCAAAGATCATTGAAAGCCAATTTCTATGAGAATTCATACATGCATAAAATAAAAATATTGTCTCTAATTTTTTGTGTAATTTTCTTAAATGATTTAATAGCCTGGTACATTTTCTGTAGATCTGATGTATGATATTTTTGTAGTCAAAGTTTAAAATTGTAAATGGATTCATAAACTCAATCCAGTAATGATGCCATCTTTAGTGGCTCAGCCACTACAATACCCATTACCATCCTTATATGTACGTCAACACCCTACATTTGTATTCATTCTACACAATCCAGTAGTCACTTGAGAGCACTGGGGTGACATAATGGTCATGCGTCAGCACTGACATTTGAAAGGAATCCTATATAGGTGACTGTTTGAGCTATGCATCTGTACTAAACTAACACAATAATCCCAACCATATGTCCCTAAGCCATGACGCCCACATTACGTAAATGGAGGGCTTATAAATGCACTCTGTTTGACACAAATATTTCTGAAACCAGGAAAGCTGTCATAAAACCTTAGTGATAAACGCCAAAAAGCAGTTACTCCAGCAACTGGATATGATTTAGAAAACGTCAGACGTTTCAGCTTGTATCCACTAGCTTTCATCAGTGACTGAGAGACCAGAGGGGAAATGCTTAGTGACAAAATCTACGCTTCCATATGCTTGTGGATAGAATGAAAGAAAAATCACTATCAAAAGACAGACAAGAAGTTACTGATAGTTTTAGCTTTACCCCAAATTTAGTGAGACTTTTTTCTTTGTTTACATTTACAGCACATGAATTTATAAATAAGAATAGAGAAAAGGAAATCTGCAACTGCAAGATAAAAAATCATCTGTTTCCTCTGCGCGCCAAGAGGTTGGAAATATAAGCTGACAATTTTAGGTTTACTTCATAGATGAACAGACTTTGCTCAAAACATTCAGACAGAAAACGAAACACCAGATACATGATTGTACATAATTATGAGTGAACATCATTCTTACATGTATGCCTACTGAAAGACATACGAATATATCTCAAGCCACCACAAAACATAAGCTGTACCGTAAAGAAGTTAGGAAATAATTCAATATAAAAGCAAACTTAATAATATTCTTCAACCACAAAGAAAGTTAGCTAGGTTCCAGGACCAATGGTTCCAAGCTGGCTGCTTTTTCATTGATTTTTGATAAGGAGAATTGCTGGCGACATTGTTTCCCACTTAACATGATCAAACTCTATTGATTTTATCGTGCTTTCAAATTAGAATCATGTTCAAAACGTTTCTCATTTCAATATATCTATTACTTTTGCCATGTACCTGAAATATCAATATCACGATTTATGTTTCCAACCAACCCCAGAAAAAACTACCGATCCTGGCCTTCTTGGGGTGGACCCCTGCAAGGGACATAAATTTTTCAAGCTGATCTAGCTTTTTTCAAGCTTTTCTACCTCCATGATCTGACAACTGAATGATTGAAACATTGTACAATCGGTTTTCAAACATTGAATATTGAAAGTGTCCTCATGCAAGTTTTACTTTTTAACTGTTACAGTATTGTATAAGTCAGACCACTAGAGATCACCAAAGTCTAAAAGAAAAGAACGAGAAAAAATTACTTATTTTTTTCAGAACATCTTTTAGCTTTAAAAAAAAAAAGAATTTAATTTACTTTAAACTATTCCGTACCTTGAGTTGTTTGATAAGTTCCTGTTGTTTCTCGCGCTGTTCCAGAATACGGAACTCGTGTTCGCGCTCGCTCATGTCATCCAGTATCTGTGCGTCCTGCGTGACACAGCCGCGAACGTCGGGACAGCCCTGGAATGCAAACTCCTCTAGTTCCTTCAGGAGACCCTGCAAGACAGCGAGAACATGATAAGACATCTTTTAGGTCCTTCATGATGTTTCAGTCTGAGGTCCTTTTCTCACTAGGATAGCTTTTCTCACTAGGATAGAATTGTACGAATCAAGTCGAGTAGATTCGTTTTAGCTTTGATCTGGATCTATTCGGCTCGATCCAAACAATTTTATCCTAGTGGGAAAGGGAATGAAGAAAGGACTTAGACTGAAACATCATCTTTCTGATCATTTCTGCAACACTTGATTATAGGGGTGCCAACTCCATCATGTAATTATGTAATTAACCTGCCATACCTATTATAGTGTAGATATGCACAAGCATGATAGATTCTATTTTTCCTGCACCTGCTGTAATACCATTAACATGTAGTTCCGTGAACACCTCCATTTTTCTCAGACTGTGAACTTTTGTTTCCGTGAACATAAAGTGAATTACAGTATTTACCTCTTTGTCGTCCGGTGGTGCTGTAACGATCTGTTTGAGTCTGAACTGTACTTGAGCAAAATGCGTGGTGAGGGCCAGTAGTGAGGAGTTCAGCTGGTCCTGTTCCTGCTCCAACATGCGCAGCCGCTCGATCTCGCTCACGTGCGGCTGGTCCCCACCCCCCTGCGCCCCCGGGGTGGGGGAGGCGGTGGCGCCCACGGGAGGCCAGCGCTCCACGTCCGGCTGGTTCTCCAGACTCAGACCCTCCATCTCCAGGTCGAAGTCTGACTCGTTTGAAACCTCCTCCATCATTTTCACTCCTGGAAACAGAACAAAATAAACCCTTAAACTTTTAAAAAGGCATCCAATACAATTTCAGGGCAGTAAAACTGGATTTTCAAAGTCAATTTTCTTGTCACTCTTCAGCATACTGATACATTTGTATCTGTAAAAATGTGATGTCACTGACAGCAATCGTACATGTATCTACTAGTAAGTTCTAACTATTTGTGGGTGGTACCCAAAAAAATAAAGAGATGCCTCACGTAGCTTGTTTTGGGGCAATTTCAAATCCTTCAAGTATTAAATATTAAATATCATTATCAGACAAATTTCCTCATCCAGGACCAGAATACTGAAACTGCATTGGATTCAGGTGTGTCAAATAATGGCTCAATTGACAAGTGTGGAGAGGAAAAAAAAACTGAATGCAACCAACTTGGAAGAAAAAAAAAGTACAGATTGGGCATAGATAGACTGCAATGTTGAACATATCTGTGCAAGCTTTTCTAATTTTATGGAAAACCCTGAAAATGAAATGGCACTGTTATTAGTGTTACTGAAGTTGGAAACGCCCACAATTATAGAACTCAAACCTACGAAAAATACTACGGTCTGGACTGTTATATGTTTTCGTGGACATCTGTTATGTCTTCATGGACATCTGAAGAGGCCGTGTGCCACGCCGTGTTTACAGAAGCCAGAAAAATACAAACAGAAGGCTGCACTGAGTCCACTCTTGTGCCAGGCAAATCCCGGATATATTTTCTGTAGCAGGTGGTCGTGGCAGCAAATGAAAAGCACGAGAAAAACATCAACCTACGATCAAAAACCTCTTCCTCTACAGACGAAATATAAGTCCTTTACCTTGGTATAGATGCAGCTAACACGCAGCAACCTTCGGAAATGTCGGAAAGCCGGTTATATTTGTTTTAGGACAGAAAGAAGACGGAAAACTTTAGGTTTTGCAGACCATCTGGTCGCGTCTCTCGTCCAAGCGCTAATGTGTTTCCCTACGGCGCATGCGTACTGGACCAGAACGAGGTTCAACCCGGAAGTAGGGTAACAGGTGGCGGCGGTACCACAGCGCCTTCTGGCGGAACCAATAAAAAGTGCAACAATAATAAGACAATTGCTGACATTCTTTTGCCGGAATTTCCATTTTTCAAGAAAACAGTAGCAGTAAATTGTGGCTTTATCTTATGGAGGACATGTTTACAAAGCAATGGGTCATATATATTTTACCCAGATATGTTTGTTTGTTTGTTTGTTCTACAACGTTCGCGTTCCATATACGCGACATTCAGAAAAGTCGAAGGTAAACATAGAAGACGAACTTTCGAAGTGGCGTGGCGGCTGAGTCACATGCTAAAGCTCATTTGTGTCACATCACTCGTCAACACAGGGTTTTGTCTTTCCATAATGTGGCGAACACAGCATCGTATCAGCGCGTCTTCGTGATCAGCAGCAGCGTTGTCAAGTTTTCTGTCAAACGCAACTTGTTCACAACATCCAATGAAGGCAATGGAAAGTAAGTAGTGCATATCTTTTATAGCTGTTCGCATCCTTTGGTTACAAGTGCCTTGTCAACTTTTTATTCTGTATTTTCTCTTCCGGGAAAAGAAATGTATTGAATCGAAGTACATGTAGTAACGATGTAGGAAATGTTAATATTACGTCGATGAAGGTTAGACATCCATATGTAATAAGATACGCCAAATTCATTTCCAAAATCATACCCAGTTGCTTGAGGAACTGTTTTGGCCTAAATACTAACGTTACATTCTTTCTGGTTAATTTCTTGCGCACAACTGAACGAGCATATCTAGACAGCAATAGTTTGCCTTGCATTATGGTAAGACATTTTAACGTTACTTATCATGATAGTCTAATGCTTTTTTCTTATACTTGTACCCACTCGAAGGGTTTACGGTAGCAGAGAAGCGGTGGCTGCTGGTCGGGATCGCTCTTCACAAAATCGTCCACCCCGCGATCTGCCAGGCCCTGAAGACTGAAGCCGGACACCCCGTTCCTTACGGCTGTCTGGACATTTCTGCGGCTATAGACCGACTCAACAGCGAGAATGCCTTTGCATTTGATCTTCAGAAAGCAGCAACGGTAGGGAACAAGTAAATTGATTAAAAAGAAAACTAGAAAGCTAACATTTGCAAAGCAAATGCATAATGTTTACCTTCGGCTTCGCATATGGTCTGCTCTGTTAATTCTTAAATATGGTCAGACAGGCCTAGGAGTCTGAATCCCTCCTGCTATAAAATGACAACATTATGTAACCCAACACCAGTTGCCGTGGTAACAGGCACACCATTGGTTCAGGTCATTGAGGTCAGTGTTTGGAGAAGAAGAAGAGGAAGAAACTGAGCAAAAACAATATGTTTTCCTTCGGTAAACATAAAAAAGTAACATGCAGGAAATTACGACCAAATGTATCTGAATCAATTTATTTTTATATGCAGAAACTGCGCTCGAAGGTCCGGAATAAGTGGGCACATTCCGTCATGAACGAGTGGATCGACAAGGAACATTTTCACACGTGTTTCTTGGCCATGAGAAAGGTCATTGACCTCTTGCCGTACCCGAGTCCAGCCGTCAGAGAAAGGACCAGCATGCGTCTAAGGAAATATGAAGAGGGCGATGCCACGGGTACGGGGTATATAATTTAACGAGAAAATAAACACACACACACACAAAGAGAGAGAGAGAGAGAGAGAGACAAAGAGACAGAGAGTCAGAAAGAGAGAGAGAGAGCAAGAGAGGGAGAGAGAGAGAGAGAGACAAAGACAGGAAGAGACACCATTCCTCCTACGCTTAGCTATAGAATAACGTTAGGCCACAAAGTAAATTTTATGGATGACGTCCTTTGGAGACCCTAAATCTAATGCGAGAGGGCGAAAAAAAAACAAGAAAGGCCCTGAAAAACAAGATGCCTAGATTAGAAATAAACCAAGAGACGACAAATGTTAGGACACAAATTGAATGAGGTGACACAGTGTAACAAGCAAGAAGTCTTTTATTCATCATCAAAAAAGCAATGAATCAGGTGGAACAGCAGTTATCGTCCTGTCCTGTTTCTTTCATCACATTTTTGCAGGCCTGCAGAAACAAAGCATGTGCTCTTTACCCATTTGACGTTACGGGTTTCACGTCAACCTAACGATTTGTGGCACTTTCGTGACTCTTTGGTCATAGTTACAGGAAGCGGAATTATATTTCAGTCCATACCATGGTATGGATGAAATATATTGTGTTCTCTGGTGTTTCTTCTTCTCCTTCTCCTCCTTCTCCTCCTGCCAAACAGTCAAAGGGATTCAACTCCGCCATCATTCAGCCAAATGACTTGAAATTTGGCATGGAGGTAGAGTGGGCCAATACCCCAGGCGTTTTTCATTTTTTTGATACATGCCTTTGAAAAATTTTTATGAAGGTTTTTTGGGGCATTTTTCGCCAAAAAATGGATTTTTGGATCCTGAGCCCTGGTTTTACAACCAAATGATCTGAAATTCGGTATAAGGGTACCTTGAACATGTGTCTACAGAATAGCAGTCACATATTTGGCATACACCACTTCCAAATGACTCATTTGGAGGACTTTAATGGCTATTTTCAGCAAAAAAAGGGCCAAAAGCGCTGTACCCGTTCCATGTTCTATCTAAAGAATGGCCGGTTCCATCCATGGAACACGTGTTCCATTGCGGGTTACCTGAGGTCACATTGCACGTAAGTCATGCGGAATGACCCACACATTCAATTTTATGTGCCTAAGACCTTCAAAATGTATCAAATCTCATCATTGTTAGTATTTGCATACCTGTAATAAGACTAGTAAAGCTTTCGAGATTCAATGTGCTTGATCTTGCATCTTTGTTCTCAATTACATACCTACTACTACTACTGTATATAATTCATTTATTTGAGAATCTTTGCCAGTTTTACACTGGGGTAAGTTTGGAATAGTCCACTTTTGCGTGGGAGGGAGATGGACTGAAATATGCTGTATTTGCTCCCAAGCAAATGTCGGCCTCTCTAGTTTCTTGTTTTTTTTTTAGGAACAGGCCAAAATCAATGCGCGCGCGGACGTCATCCATAAAATTTACTTGGTGTGGCCTTACAGTGAAAACCAATGGAACGGTGACTCTCCTTGGTGCTGAACGCCATCAACTACTGTAAACCGCCATCAACTTTTTGACGTATTTCTGTCTGTCATTCCCCTGCATTATGTTACACGAACAATATTTTCTATTTGCCTCACAGCAAAAACTTAAACTGTTTTGGTATAATGCTGAATGGTAAATTCTGGAAACATAACAGCTAGAACGTACATTTCCCTCCATCTTTGTATTGTGTAATGAGTATTATCATTGCGTTTCTTCCGCAGCTTTCCATACCTCGTTGTGCAGCTGTGTTTTCTTTCTGTTTTTTCAGGAAATCTCCTATTCAATCCTTATCATTTCTTTCCTGGTGGAGACGGCAACAGCCAGACTGTTGTGGCTGTGCCTGAGCCCCCGTCGGTTGGCTGTGAGTTGTGCGGCTACACCGGGAACCTCCACCCGTCAGCCGGCTGTGAGTCGTGTGGTTACACCGGGAGCCTCCACCCCTCCCCTCCCCCCAACGGCCACCCCTCAGACGACAATGGTAGCAGCCCAATTGAACAGAGTATGAGGACATCAAAGTGGAAATTTTCTTGGCTACACCTCACAGGCGGAGCCGTATTAGGGTTTGCTGTGGGCGTCCTCCTCGCAAGTGTTCCTGGGAAATGTGGTGAAGTTGTTCGTAGTGGGTCTGTGCCGATTGTTCTCAGGCTAGAAGATATGATAAAAGCATGCAGTCATCTCCGGCTTTCCTCCTGATATTTTCCTGCAAATTTGCTGTTGCACTTACCTACAGGAGACTATTGTCCATGATCTGTTTAACTTTAAGTCTACTGCTCTGTTTGGAGCACAGTCACTTCACACATAACGTTACATACATTGTTCGGTGTATCGCACAAGTGTAGTCAATAAACTTGCATTCTTACAGTGATTGTGTTGTGAGTATGAAGTGAATCAAACGCATGCATTTAAGGTGCGTAAGTGCATGAAGGCATAATGTTGTGTGACTGAATCAGACTTGAAATTGATACTCTCAGAGTATTTTCAAAGTACATGTAACGTTACATATCTGTATCTGTATAGCCGGTATAACCGTCTTTCGGCGTAACACACCAGCTTCATTTCATGTATGCAGTTCAAGGTTATATACAATGGGACATGATTTGAACATAACCTCCCCTTTGAATATGACAGTCATATGTGTACGCCTGCAGAAAAATGTACACCAGAAACTTCTTGCAATCTTTCTACGTCATACAGTTTTCTCGACAAATACTATGCATTTCCCAGAATGACGATTTTTCTAGCGTAGCGGAGCAAAATCCTGGTGGTATCCAGGCTAAAAATGACAGCCATTATTTTCTTACACTCAATTTCACTTTTTCGCGCCACGAGAACGTCTTATCAAAGGTCAACCAATCAGCGCGCGGCTCGCTGAGATCACTTCCGGTATCTGCACATCGCGCCAAGATGGTGGCTTACCAGTACTCGTGGTTTTGGAACGAGCGCTTCTGGCTCCCTCCTAACGTTACCTGGGCCGATCTCCGCAACACGGACGAGGTCCAGTACCCGCAGACCACGCAGCTGTACGTCTCCGTGGGTTATGCAGTCGTCCTGCTGATCATTCGGCTGATTTTCGAGCGGTAAGTTGTAGCGGGGAGGGGCCCCACCCCACCCCGGGGGTGCGCCCGCACGTTTAGGGCGTACAACATGTAGCTACAGCCCCCTCCCAGCAAAAATCATCCTGGCGTCAAGCCTTTAAGTCGAGAAAACGTCACGATCGACGGTGTTCTTAAACGAAAAAAAAAATGTTGATTTCCCGTATGGCTCGCTAAATCCTCCATACCTTAAACATCCCTCCTGCTGTCTTTACGTCAAAAGACGTCAGCGTGTGCCTTTTTTGACGTGACGGAGCCTCGGATCTGAAGACGCCGCGCACAGAACTTGTCAAATTATAGCTGCTAGGTTGTTAACCTTGTGCGCTTATTTATTTCAATCTTGGGAAATCATCTCGACAATTTGTCTGACCCTGTACATGCCCACGGATTACCATGTACTGGCAAAATAGGAATCAATATATTGTAGGAGATTTGAAGGGCCTTGCACCTAAAACCTTGCTTGGAGCATATTATATCTGCTCTATTGGCATTGTTTCCATTGAGTGAATATCGTAATAGCTATGTTATAATACTAATGCTTAAAAATATTCCATTATTACAAACATTTTCCAATCTTATATTGGAAAATGTTTGATTAATTAAAAATATTATTTGATATCTTTCTTGATACAAGATTTTGCTCAACATTCATTTCTATTCAACACGTTGTATCCAAAATAAATGACAGCATAATTGAACAGGTTTGTTTTAGGCAAACCTGATTAAACAGCTGTTACAGGATTCTATTTGTTTATCTTGTTCTCAAGTAAACCTAATGTTCACAGTCAGCCTTCCCAAGGGACATTCCATCACAAGGGGGGGGTGTGGCTTTAAAAATTACTGTGCAGGGGGTTATGACAACACTGAAGAAGGTTGTCAAAAATGTGGAGAACAGTACATGATAAAATCTGAAAAATCGACAAAAAAGTGTAAAAAGTCTATTAAAAATCCATTTTCCCCTTGATCCTTTTTATGTGTTAAAAAATCATCGCAATGGAGTGGCTTCATGCTCTCAATGTCACGGTTGTGAGTAAGAGTCATATGCAGTCTTGCTAAAGTCATCAAGTATTTCTCTTCTGTACCACAAATGCATAATGAGCTAGCACATTCCAATAGCCTTTGTTATTAGATCCTCTGGATAAGCAAAGTGTGATGTGAAAAACACACATCAGTGAAGAACTTAGAGACCTGATCACAGTTACAGGAAAGTGTTGTGTAAGTTAGAACCAAAACCCAGAAGTATCTAGACATTTTAGGAAGTAAAAAGTACATGTTAAAAGTAGGAATGGATTGTGGAATGAAAGAAATTGTCCTTCCTTTTCAGTTTATCTTGAAAAGACTCTTCATTATAATAAGAAGCGTGGGGGTCATGGAAAGAGGCCATTTTCCCTGGCTCTTTGTAGTGTAATACTTGTTTGTGAATGCCATGCTTTTGTACTCTAACCTACACCAAGCCTATACACACATGTTACTGTGGTTTTTATCTTAGTTCTTACTGATAAGGGTTGTAACTTGTTGAAAGCAAACAATAGATTAAGTGTATATAAGTAGTTAAGTGTTCAAGCCTTTCTTTAGTTATATATACAAACTGTATCTCTGGAATAATGCTTAAGCCTCAAATTTTTCTAAAATGTGAGATTCTAATGGTAGAAAGCTTGTGCACAAAGTTGAATAGCCCAATGCATATATTTACCAATTACCGCTGACCCAAAAAGTGGGACTGACATGGTTTTCTGGACAAGCTACATGCTTGTACATTGTATTGTCCATAGAAGTGGGTTAAGTTTATGAAATGTTTTGATTATTATGTCAGGCTCTCTTGGTCGTGATGTTTTGACCAGTACTAACTAACGTAAAGGGGGGTCTTAACAGTTTTCTGGAGGGAAAGGGGCTCTTATACTAACTACTAGTACATGTAAATAGACTTATGTTTTGCCTTAAAGTACTGCTTTCTTAAAACTTACCAACACTGTCCCAGTCAAAGTGGTGTTACATGTCTGTGTTATGGTAACCAAGGTCAAGGTACTGCCCTATTATATTGTGTTGGATCACTCAATCCACTAAGGATTGTTTGTATTGGTTGTTCCCAGGTAATCCCAGCAACAGGTTCAGTAATCTGTTTACCTTCTGAAATCCACACTGTCAACAATGAATAAAGAGACTTTAAATCATACACAGTAAAGTTAACTTAATTGTGCTTTCTGTTTTATCGGGCTTTGAAAGTAAAATCCTTAGGGATTGATAGACAATCAAAAGTGACCCAGAAAAGTACCTGTAGTATACTATACCCAGGCGAGTATATCTACCTTTTAATCTTGTTGGATTTTAACAATTAAGTGTAAAAAGGGGAAAGAAATGGTTTCTGCTGTCTTGAGCCACCTCCCTTCCATTTGTAATTTATAAAGCTAACTTTGATTGAATTCCAACATGAGTTTGGTAACACAGGCTACCTTAACATGGAATGGATTTAATTTAATCAAAATCAAGAAAGCATAGAGCAAACTTTTCTAAGAATTGTTATGTCCTATTTTCACTGAACAATCTTTTAATGTCATGATTTTCGTGGGAGTAGGTAGCTGGTGTCTAGTGTAGTCTTTATTGATACACCAATGCACAGTGGGAGGCTCTTGAAGTAGTACAGTTCACAGCCAAACACAGCATTCCCAAGAATTTAGGAATGTCTCCTTGGCCAGCCTCTTCATGGGTCAAGTCTAGACACCAGAAGGCAGCTCCTATCGTTGTACAATGTACTTGACATGAATACTGACCTAACAGCCATGCTATTCATTCTGCTTCATCATATTCAAAAAGATAAGGGGGAAACGAGGCAAGATAACCACTAGAAACTGCAAAGATTGTTATAACCTTGTGTAGAATTAACCCTTGTCCTGCTGGCATTCCTGGCACAATATTTTTCAATAATTTCATGTCTTAATAAGATCATAGACCCCCAAATTTTTTTGCCCTGCAGTGGCATAGTTACATGTACTTCCGCATTTGTTGCGTTTCGCTGCGGTTTGATGCGTTGCACGAGAAATACCCCCAAATCGTACATATACAGGGTGCTATATAGATGGTACTGTATGTGCCAAGCGACATATGTTGCGCACAGCAGGACAAGGGTTTAATAAAACGTTCTAGTAGTAACTTCTACAGATATGTTCTGTACCAGAATCTGTGTCTGCATACTATTAAATGCAAGGCTGGCGCCTACATTGCCAAAGTGTCAATAGTGTTTGATCTACAGGTTAACCCAACATGGATGTTGTTTGCCTGTTGTATGACTCACTACCCCATGGTGCATGTTGACATAGGTGGGCGTGGCAGGGGCGTGTATTGTTGACAACAAGGCAAGGTTGATAATTAACAAGCAAAGGATCAATAACTAATGCACAGAATAAATTTTGTTGATGTAACGATTTAGGCAGCACATCACTATGAAAAGTTGCTCAAAATGTTCATTTTTTAGTTATATCAATGAAAGATATTTGAATAATAATCATTTGAAGGAAGAAAATCATACTAATAAGTTTAATAACTTTGTTTATCAAACAATGGTGTACAGTTGTGTCTCAGATCTGTTTTTCAGATGATATCCCTGGGCACACACATTTAAAAATACAATCATGAAAACTACAACATAATATTTGTTAACACACCTCCCAAAAACCAAAGGGCATGTATTATCACTATGTTTACAGTGTACACAACCTTGCATTCTGTTTAACTCTGTGCAGCAAGGCAACAAAATGGCCTTCAACTACAGTGACCTCACTGGACCTATTGGTCAGATCATGAGCTATACTATGACTCCATCACAGAAACAAGGTCCAAAGGGCTAAGGGAGGTCCGAGGAATATAGTGATAAAATCATGTACTTCTACTTTTGTTTGCATCTAATTGTTGTGTGTAATGTTTGTAATGTGTGCAGCACAGCATTACTTGTCTTAAGCTGAATTGCTGCCTAGTGCACCACGTGTATTGCCTTTGCAGTTTGATCTGAATCTAAAGAAAGAAAGAAATTTAAAGAAAGGACACTACAAATGTGCTAATATACTACTGTACATTTACCATAATGTGTATACTAGATAACACTAACATTGTTGACATTGTTACATGTACAGAATCAGACAACCTGGTCTTGTGCTCATCCCAGCTTATATCTGAAACATATATTATAAAATTATTCATATTTTTGTAATATTACAGCAGATATGGAATCCACAAAAATGTCCTTAATCATTAATGGAAACAACTTATGTCCTCCATGTGTACTGAAGCTTGTTACATGAATTTGACAATACAACATACCAGGCCCGACACATGTACAGTAGAAGCTTCAGAGCTAGACAGGAATGATGGTGTTCACTTGAAACATTACCCTACTAACAGATGGTGCACTGCATTTCCCACAGCCACAAGTAACAAGAAGAAGCATATTGACATTAAAAAGCACCTGTTACTTCAGCAAGCCTGTCAGACCTCGTGCGTGATGATGATTATTCAGTTGGGCTGAGCAACTGTTGTTCCCCTCGGAAAACATCAATATTGTACATGTATCTGTTTCTCATTAAAAATGCTATCCAAGCACTAATCAAGCAAGTACATGTAGAAAGGGGAAGGATGTTTTATATTGTTATTAATCCTGAACAGATTACTGTAGTTTATGTTTTTTTTTTCATTTTTTTTTTACTTGTATGTTCTTGGTTTTCGCAGTCACTTCTGTTCCTTGAACTTAGCAATACTGGTAACAAAAAATTTGTCTTTTGCCCCCCCCCCTCCATTTTTCTCAGACCATTAAATTTTGCAACCATGAACATAAAGTGATTTACAGTAACATCTGTGTCCATAATATCACCAGGGTCCATAATATCGCCACCTTGAGGAAAAGTGTGCTTAAAGATATTTTTACTGCAACATACCCTAGGTATGTACATTTGAGGTGTAAAGGAGTGCATACCAAAAGTATGTTGCAGTAAAAATATCTTAAAGCACACTATTTCTCAAGGTGGCGATATTATGGACCCTGGTGATATTATGGACACAGATGTTACATATATACCAGTACTATAGGCATATGTACATAGTTGAACTTATTATAATGTTGTCTGGGATACTGTACCATGTACAGCTTAGCAGTAGCTGACAAAAGAATGACAAATATTTCACAATGTGCCCTGGGGAAACATCATCAAACCACTTCACAAACCCCATGGATGAAAACATGCATATCTCTGGCATTCTGAATCGCATTGTCCTCATATCAGTAAACATGCATATCAGAAACATCAATGTCCAAAATACAGTTTAGTATATTCAATACTTGATTGACCCAGTAATTGATTTGCATTGCCTATATATTTTCTTTTATACAGATTTTATTGCTACCTCAAGTTGGGAACTTTATTATATTATATACATAGGAAACTTAGTATTATTAGCTATATGTAGAATGCTGTGTTTGACCTAGTTTTGGAAATATTTAGGTCAAGTATCTCACTGAATGATCCACTTTGTGTGTAGAATGTGTTTAATATACAGGCATGTTTATGCCGTTTATTGCATGTAGGAATGAATGAACTGTAACTATTACTAAGTAAATTATTGAAAGAGTCTGAATATGACAATGTATAAACTGTCCTAGTTTTGGAAATATTTAGGTCAAGTATCTCACTGAATGATACACATTGTGTGTAGAATGTATTCAATATACAGGAATGTTCTTATGGTGTATCATGCATATAGGAATAAACTGTAAGTAAAGATTGAAAGAGTCTGAAACTGGCAAAGTAACTGAACCATGCATACTTTGGCCTTGCTTGGAATAGAGCCAACATTTTGACCAAATTTAGCGAAGAACTCTGACCAAAACTGTGGAAAAAGTGCTCCTCTGTTTCTGTATAGCCGGTATAACTATCCTTCGGCATAACACACCAGCTTTGCAGGCATGCGGCTATCTTACACCAAACGACATGTTACACCGAACCCTTGAACATCTAACTCTAAACATTTGTTTGAGACTCCCCACAGATTGTTAGTGATTCTCCCCCTGTAAAGCAGGTACCAGGTGTGTAAAATGGGCAGGTTGTTCTGAACCAGGCTTACTAATGGATAAAAGGATCAGATAAGGTGGACGACCTGTTTGAAACAGAATACTCTTGAAATGCCCACCAGCAATTTGCAGAAACATTTTCAAGATTGTAGATTCAAAAAAAATGTCAGCCCAGAAGGCAAAATAAAGCCTGAAAATAGAAAGTCTTCTGGAAACCATCATATTTTTAGGCAACATTTGAAACATTGTGCAACTTTGCAAAAAATAAAAATAATAAACGGTCATAGATGGTGGTGACAGACTATCATCGAAACATCGGCTCATGTAGAACAAATGATTTTGAATAAAATAAACTTAACTACTTAATCATTCTGATTCATAACAGGAAATTATTTAGGGATTTATTAATATTATATTTCCCATACAGGTTCATAGCTGGGCCTATCGGACAGAGCCTGGGGATCCCAGGAGAGCGGAAGTACGCTGAACCCAACGCCATCCTGGAGAAGGTCTTCACGTCCATCACGAAGAACCCTGACGAGAAACGTCTGCAGGGATTGGCCAAGCAGCTGGACTGGAGTGAGCGACAGGTGCAGCGATGGTTCCGGCGCCGCCGTAACCAGGACCGCCCCACCTTACTGCAGAAGTTCAAGGAGGGCAGGTCAGAACATGATTTGGACAGTGTGATAAGTTTGATAAGGACAGCATGATAAGTTTGATAAGTACAGTTTAATATGGACAGTATGATATTATTAAAGTTCGATAGATGATGGACAATTTGATAAGGACAGTGTGATAAGTATGATACGGACAGCATGATAAGTTTGATAAGGATAGTTTGAAAAGGACAGTATGATAACTTTGGATGGAAATCAAGGACAGTAACCAGTTTGATAAGGACAGCATGATAATTTTGATAAGGACAGTATGCTCATGTGCTAAGTTTGAGAAGGACAGTTTGATAAGGACAATGTGAGAAGCTTGATGAGGGCTGTATGATAAGCTTGAAGACTCGAGGGCTGTATGATAAGTTTGATAAGGACAGTTTGATAGGTTTGATAAGGATAGCATGATATTAGACTTGTGTGTAAAGACTTGTCCCCTAACCCAGCCAAGCTCTCAAATGCAGCAAGCAAAAAATATGAGATAAAGTTATTGAAGTTTCTGTTGTTTTTCCTGCAGCTGGCGATTCACGTTCTACACCCTGTCATTTTCGTATGCTGCCACCATTCTCAAGGATGTAAGTTGATTTATCATTAATGTAAATATAACTTCAATTCAAACAGTATCTTGTTGCTTATTAGTAGTAACCACTTGATATATCAGAGTAAGAAGGGAACTAGGAATCTTACTGCAATCCATTTATATAATAAGTAGATTCTATATGATTATGATAATATGTTGGTGAAGACTGAGAAGTTACTTTTAAGTGATAATAATGTTGTTTTACTGTGTCTTACTTTAAGAAACCATGGCTGAAGGACATAAAGCACTGCTGGTATGACTTCCCTGATCATGTAAGTACAATATAATGATGTCAGTATGAAGTATACAGTATTTTATAAAAGATAACAGTGTCAGATACTGATAAGGCAGTTAGTCATTAAAAACATCTATATCAGAGATCTAGATAGACATGCTAGGATAAGGGAAAGAAAAAAAGGCTCATAAGAAACATTTTCACATTTAGTGACAGTCAGCTAAGAACACTCCAGAATTATTACAAGTTTTATAATATATGAACTTTTTTGACAGCCCCTAACTGATGACATCACCTACCTGTACATCGTAGAGCTGGGCTTCTATTGGTCGCTCATCTTCTCTCTCTTCAGGGATGTCAAACGGAAGGTACCCATATATGCTCATGTCTCTTTTTAGGAGCCCTGGAAAGCATATGTGTTGAAACAAATAGTGCATAACGTATTACATTGCAACTAACAGCTTGCCAGTCTGAAGTGTTTGTTCCTGTCAAGTTTTCATATGTTTAAGCATTTTCTCGGCAGACCTTTCAAAAATATTAATATTGATGTCACATTTTAATGTTATCAATAAGTGTGTATCGGATACTTCACTATGATTGAGCTTCTGCTGTTCTAAAATTTGTCTTATTACATGTAATTAATAATGTGCACTCATTGTGTACTGTTTTGTGGGTTTGGTCTGCACTTGATATACCTTCCAGCTGAGTTAGAGCATAATGAACACCCTCAGATTGGGTAAGAACAATTGCACACATGATTGCTTGCACAGCCCAGTGTTGAAATTATTTTATTTTTGTTTTTTGATCCTTTGCTAGGAGCAACAGATATACCACAACTTTCCACTGTCTGAATTCTTCTCCATAAACTTGTTTCTTTTCAATCACTGATACTCTTTCACCTGTGAATCATTCTTTTCTTACATTTACAATTTTTATGAGATCTTTAGCAAAGATGAAAAGTATGCTGAATTATATTTTTATCATGGCCATCAATTCTCGTTACAATTACAATCCAGATTCCTTGTGCAAAATGATTTTTAAATAAAAGCATTTTGTTACAAAAAGTTAGCCTACTAAACATGACCATGCATCCATTTTTATTTTATTTTTCACTTCTAGTTGTTTTCTCCCATTTTGACACTTTTTATTCCCTTGACCTTGTTCCAGGATTTTCCCGAACAAGTCATTCACCACATCTGTACTATTGCTCTGGTTGCGTTCTCCTGGGTTGACAACCTAGTACGCGTTGGGTCCCTCGTTTTTTTGTTGCACGATGTGTCAGACATATTTCTGGAGGTACGTACACAAAACTGCAGGTACACGTGAGTAGGTAGCCACCGTGATGGAGGTAGGATAACGCTTGTTTTGTTGTGGCTTTGGCCGCTTTTTGTGTTTGCAGGATTTTTGGCAGATGGTGGTGCACCATGTAGCGACTATCATGCTGGTGTCGTTTTCATGGGTGGCGAACTTCGTCCGCATCGGGAGTCTCATCCTAGTCACACACGACATGGCCGACATTTTCCTCGAGGTCTGTCCCACCGCTTTCCTTTCTGTCTCTCGCTATCATTGCCGTGGTTGCTGTTGCATGATGGGTAGTTGGCGTGCCCTCCTCTCTAGCTTGCTTGTGTGGCATCTGTTTTAACATTCAATCATCTGTAACACTTTCTGTGGATTATTGATGGCTTATGGTTAGGGACATGTTAATTCTTAACTTTGGGCTATATGCTATAGGCTATATATATATTAGTTACTGTAATAAAGTCAGCAAGAGGCAAGTTGATATTATAAGTAATACAAACTAAATTTCATGTAGGTGATTTTATTACTTCACCATGAATATTCCAGTATCTGCATCAATGTTAAACAAGTGTACTAAAAACTTGTTTAAAGTGTATGTATACACTTGGGTATACATTGACATGTCCCTAACTTGTCCCTAACACCACTTGTGTGAGGTATGGTCAGAAAGTTCTTAGTCTTGACAATGCAACCAACAAGGAAGAGCCAAGAATGTTTTGGCCATCTCTCACACTTGAATAACATAAGTTACAAATATACCTAACAAGCCTCAACACAGCAGAAATTGTACATTGACAGACTATCTGACTCTATTTCTTAGTTTGGCTGTTCCATTTTAGTTGTCTGTGTGGGTGGTTGGACAAATTAGAACGTTTCTTTCATCCATGTCATCTTTTAGCCATCTATATAAATTTCTTGGAGCAGCGGCATGTATTTTTGTGGGGGAGTGCTGATACTTGATTTTTTATAAGAATGCTGCAGAAGGAGTTTTGCCTCTTCATCAGAGAGAATTAGCCTGTGTAAAAAAAATCGTCAGGCATATCAGCACTTCCCTAAAAATATAAAATCCAGCTTCCAAGAAGTCTGCAAAGCAGGCTCATCACACATTTTATGTTCCTAAACCCCATCCATATAATTGTATGCTCAAATGGAACAGCTTATACTAGTTTCTGTGTGACACTTCATTCATGACTTAACATATAGACGTAATAGAAATGATTTTCTAATTGCGTGTGTGTAGTAGTAGTCTTTTGCATGTACATGTGTTTATTCTAACATATGCATGGTGTGCGTAATTGATAATTTCATCATAATGTACAAATTAGGCCTGTTTTATAATTAGCTGTGCCATACTGCTAGGGTCTAATAACTACATGTAGTCTAGAGAAATTTGTAATGTTGGATTCACGAATGATCAACTAAATATGAATACTGAATTTTAATTTCAAAGCTTTGCCCATATGTCTATTATATAGTAAACTGTTTCAATTAAGGTACAATTAAGAAGTATTGCACAAAGATTGTTTCATACTGCACTGAAATCTCTAACTTAAAACTTGTGATCACTTACACTTTGTTTCATGTTGATATTAACCTGGATTATAAGTAGAATCTTGGTTATCATTTATTTTCAAATAATGTACATACCAAAACTGTATTTTTAGCTAAAAATTAAGATTGTTTAAGCAACACTGTTCTGAATGATTTTTTTCATTTTGCATGATAACCAACATTATACTACATGTGTCACTGCCAGGAACATTGGTAACAAAAAGCACTCTGATTGACTGATGCTTTGTGCCATGTCCTACTTTTAACTCTTCTTCTGTTACTAACTGTGGACAAAAATTGGTCAAATGAGCAAAACCAAGTGTAAAACGTTTTGAATAAGGTTGTCTCATATTTATTTGTCCAATTGTGGTCCATGAAACCATACTAACTCTCACCTTTATTTTTTTTATTTTTTTCTTCGACTAACAAGAACATTTTTTTCCTTTGTAGGAACATTCTAAATGTGTTTTCAGTGTAACACCACTTTTATGAGATTTGTTGTATAACTTTAACTAACGCAGCAACTTCTACTGGGCTCTATCTATGCCCACCCCTTATTCCCCAAAATAGACCAATCCATTTGCTGACACTCCTGTCAATGAAATGGACTGTTACACTTCTAGAGAAGGGGTGCATAGACAGTAGAAGCCATCTTTTGTGATCTATGCTTTTCTCTCACAACATGACCTCCTTTGAGGAAAATCAGCACAAAAACTTTTACAAGGTCGAAAGGACACAAATTCATGCACACAAATAACAAAATGGAAGCAATACGGTCAATTCAGAAACGTCAGAAAATTATTTAAACCACAAATGTTTGGATATGTCAAAAAAAAATTGTCTACTACAGCTTGATTGATCTTTTCTCTTGACTGTAATGATGGTGCCCTAGCCTTATTCTATAGTGGTGATGGGTCACTTTTGCTACATAACATATTTCTTCCAGTTTGTGTTTTGTTTGTTCTACTCTTCTTTGACAAAGTAAGTATTGTTACTTGATTGGAATGGTGTCCAAAGAAGTTCAGTGATGCATGTTATACTTCCAGAGACAAAAAAAAAACTACCTCTTGCGTCAGTTTTAAAGCACAAATTGGTACATCTCAAAGTATCACAGAACTAAAGCTTGGGCACCATTCTCTATGTGAACCTTATTTCTTGGCGAAGTTGGCTTGATAAGTGGCAGACCAATCTGAAAACATTGCTGTGTTCTGATTGGCAATTAAAAATCCATAGGACTTGATCATTTGATTTGAGTCAGTGACTTTCAACACCACCTTCTTTAACAGTTTGTGAAGTGGCATCTTCTTTTGATGTGTAATTCCAAAATAGTTTTTAATCATATGAGGAATTAGATTGTCAAATTTAATGTTACCGTATTGAATCAGATGTGATTCCCAAACAATTTTGTGATGTACAAACCAATCTTGATTTTTTTAAAAATACAGTTATATCAGAGAACACAAAGTTAAGTATGTGTGATTTTCTACATGCATATTTGATATCAAAGATGCCCTTTCAAGCCACTCTTCCATTGCAGTTTCCACTACTAATGTCACATGATGTGGTGCTAAGTTCTATGCATTATGTGCACTCTGAATAGAAGTAAGTTTGGTGTTCCACAATCATGTACTTCATGAATTTCACGTTCTATCTTTCCCTTGCTATGGACATGACAGGTCTACCATGTAGGTTCTCTGTTCCCTCTTAATACTAGTACTCTTACTCTGGGTGTAGATGGGGGATATAGGACCACGGTTCCTACTTAGCATTTTTCAGTTCAAACAACGTTAACTTAGACCTTCATTAAATTTTGGCCAGAGAAAAAAAAAAGGTCTTTTATTTTCTGAAAATTTTCAAATGTGTAGAATTGACTTCTACTGATATTAAATTTTTATTCTCAAAACTTTGTGTATTTGTACATATAAGAGGATAGGTTTACTCCAAAAAGTGTACTCATGCATGTATGTAATAATTATTCCTCTAGAGCATGAAGGTATGTAATATTTAGTATACTATTTGAACTAGAGAAAGGCTAGGTTAACTAGAGCGTTAAGTCATTTTACTTCCATCTCCTTGCATAACTTTAAGTAATCATTGTATCATGTATTTACTTTCCTAGGCCGCGAAGCTGCTAAACTACGCCGAAGTGTCAGGCCCTTTGCGATGCCTGCTTCGTGGTGTTTGCCATCGTCTTCTTTGTCAGCCGCCTTTTCATCTACCCATACTGGTTAAGGTCCAGAATTTGTGCACCACCTTTCTTGCATTCGCCGATTTCTTTAGAAGCCTTCATTACGTTTGAAAACCATTGTACATGCACTTGTCGCCAAAATCGCCAATGTCACTTTTGTAATACCAGCTCAGAAAAGAAACAGCTGTAGTTACATGTATCAACCAAGGATTGAGGTGTTCAAAACTCATTTTTTCTCCTAGAACTGTCATGGAACTCACTACCACCAAGTACAATAGGAGCATAATCACTTAGATACAAATGTACCTTTAAACAATGCTTACACTTAGATGTGCAATGGTTTGGTGTAACAGACCCTTCGGTGTTATATGGCTACATGCATGTACGTGTACTTGCCGTACACCTGTGAAGCTGGTGCGTTAAACTGAAAGTTGGATACGGAAGATGTTGTGTTACGCTGAAGGGCAGTTATAAAAGCTATACAGGTACAGAAGCATGTTACACCAAAGGGCAGTTATACCAGGTATACACAGATACTGATACAGAATTGTTGCCGTTTTCCAGGCTGGTGTACTCCGCTGCTACGGACAGTATCGCGGACAAGGGCGTGTTCCCGGCGTATTACGTGTTTAACGGCCTGCTCCTCCTGCTGCAGTGTCTGCACATCTTCTGGGGCATCACCATCGCCAAGATGGCCTACAAGTTTGTCATCAGTGGAACTGTGAGGATGCCTCTCCACTTAATCTCCAAGCAGATCTCACTAGGATGCAACACTATTCAGTCAGCAAACGGTATCCCAGTAGGGGGCCAATGCATGTAGATACTGTCAGCTTGTTGAACAGTGTTCCACCCCCAAGAGGTCTGCTTGGAGATTATTTTGACCTACTGTAATTCCTGATTTTTTCTGATTGGTACTTTTATGTTAATGGTCACTTCTGTACCATGAACTTATCTTTACCATAAACAAATAATTCGTCTTTCGCCCCCTCTCCCCGCTACTGTGAACATATAGTTCTGTGAATGCCATTTTTTTCAGAATGTGAAATTTTGCTCCTATGAACATAAAGTGAATTACAGTACATGTACTTTGAATGCAACTGTATGCAAAAATAGCAAGCAGATTGATTTTTAAGTCAAGAGAAGATGTATAAAAGTGTTATCATTTTGAAAATACAATGTAATATTAATGTTTTGGTTCTGTTTTCTCTCCAGGCTGAAAAAGATGACAGAAGTGATGTGGAGGAGAACAGTGATGTGGACGAAAATGGCAAAATCAACGGCCTCTACCAGAACGGCCCAACCTCGAACTCGACCAATCACATTCACTAAGCAGTGACTAGTGGCCAATCACTGCTGGTTTTACATTATCGCTATGGAACTGTCGACCAACCAAAAGAGCTGTACTTTATTTTAAAAGGCTTTGGCGACATGTACAATTTCTAGGGGCTGCAGAGTCTTTGTGTACATTGTAGAAATCATGTATCGCCTGGTGACTTTATTTATCAGTTTAACAGAGGCAGTTGCTACATTCGCCTCTCAGAGTCATATTTTTGTAGGCATCAAAAGGGTGATGCCATTTTTGTCACAGGCAAGCAGTCAGTCAAGGTATTTTGTTTCAGAAAGTCAACTACATGTATGAGAATGTTGTGTATGTACTAATTCTTCCAGTGTGCTTCGTACAATTGACTAAATAGCCCGAGTGCTGTACTGCAGGATATCAACTGTTTGTAGAGACTACAAACACTATTATTGCTTGCGACATGTATTAATATTCCATAATATCATTGAACAGTAGTGTAGGAACATTGTACTTATGTATCCCAGGTGTCAGTTTAAGATATGTGTAACAACAACGTAATATTACCCAGGGTAGCCCAGTGGTTAAGTGTTTGAATTTCATGTCTTGTACTATGTGTGTGATTGAGTGAGTTACTATGTACATGTAGATGCAGGTATGTTATGCATATGGGTCTTTTCTAGATCTGGAGATATTATATCAGTGGCAATGCAGTGGATTGATCAGCAATAGCTAAGGCCACACCAATTTAATCCGTTGGTTCTTGGATTCGCCCGCTTAATTTTTTCTGAATTACCAGAATAAAGAATTCAGGTTCTGAATGAACCCCAAATGCTCATATTTTGTCCACAACAGCTGAGGATAGTCCTTGTCTTTGTACTTGTTACTCTAACAATGCAGTACTTTGATTAAAAGTTCATAATTCATTGTTTAATTTATGACAGCATGGACTATGCCTGGTATGTTGACTTCATCGCTACTATTGTAGCATTTGGGCTATCATACTCATAGGTTGCGTAGGCCTGTTTTTAGTTTCGCCCTGTCGCTTCATTTTTCCGAGACTCAACAAATCTAATTGGTGTGGCCTAATGCAGGAGTTTTTTTCCTTGGTATGTTTGGTAAATGGAAATTCTAAATATTTCGTTAACTGTCAAGTGGATGAATGTGTGTCAGCATCCAGGAGAGCAATTACTAGGATAACTGAGACACTACCTCAGTACCCACTGCCCACAAAAAATCTGTTCCTAGCTTGTCTTGAATACTGCTATCTTCATTACAATACATTGTGGTAACTATACACAGTCATTAGAACATTTGCTAATGTCAATGGTCAAATGGCAGATACCAGCAAGCTTATATATTTATTGTTTGTTTCTTGTTTGTGTAACAGGTTTATCTTCTTTGGACCAAGAAATGCACACACTATTGAGAAGACTGCTTGAATTGATATAGATAGCGGAGCTTATTTGTTTTTCTGTTATCCAAACAACTGGACAAAGTACCACTTGTAGTTTCATCACTTTCATGACTCGAGATTGTGTTTTATGTTGGTCATGGGTAATAATGTTCACACTACCAGGCTTTGATCTTGTGAAGGAATTTCAAAGATGTAAGTACTAGATAATTAGTGCATGTGTAATAGTTACTGTACCAACAGTAATAAATGTTCGGTACGTAGTTAGTGTTGCATGAAGAGTTTAGGGTGACAACTATATACTTGCCGATGCTTACACTGATCAAGCAAATCAGTTTGCTGTCAAATGATCATAATTATTCTGGTGTACAAATTTCAACTCAGTAGTAATGTCATTGGATTGATTTCTATGTAGGAAACAAGTTAAAAGGTAAAATTTTTGTTCCAACTCAAAAGGGAAATTTTGTCACCTAGTGGTTTTGACCAGTTACTCTGGTCTTCTTCATCAGATATATAGACTGACCCAGTGAAACTTGTCACATGGCTTCTCTGAACATTTCCCTTTTGTGTTGGAACAGAAGTTTTACCTTTAAATATGTACCTACTAACACAGATGAACTTTTATGAATGTATGAAACAAGATTACGCATCATAGTTATGTATTATGACACAATAATACATTTACAAATTGCCTGTTATACATTAAAAAATAATAATAATACATTAAAAATTGCCTGTTATTAGGAATAGATTTTTAAGATGCCATTTTTTCTTGATAACTTACAAGCAGTGGAGCTTTTTTTTCTGTGTTGGAAGTCTAATCAAATACATAAAGATATTTATGTTTACCGTAGGAAAACATATTGTTTTTGCTCTTCTTCTCCAAACTAATAAGGTCAATGACCTGAATCAGACTATCACCATTGTGACTAGTGTTGGGTTACATCATGTTGCAATTTTATAGCAGGAGGGATTTAGACTCCTGTCTGACCATATATATGAATGTGTTTGAGTAAGAATGAACAGAGCAGACCATATGTGAAGGTAAACATGCATTTGCTTTGCGAATGTTACCTTTCTAGTTAGAACTTGTCATTAGTGTACCCATTGGCAAATATATTGATCTTACCCACAAAGTGTTCAAAGAAACTACAATAATTGAATCTCTACACTGTGATATGAGCTGCTGCCATGGTGTCGGTGGTTTTTCCCATGATGTAATGATGTCATGTACATGTAATCGTACACTCTGTCACCAAGACTGATGTTGACTAAATGTGATGAAGTGAATTTGTTCTCACGTCAAATATAATGTAACAACAACCCCTCTCTGTCATTCTTCGTTGATACAGCTCTTTTGATCTAAACTCTTGCAATTAATCTAAATATTTATTGATAAGAGCAAAATTGTAGAGGGGGTCTTCAGTAACACTTCTGAAGACGATAACATAGAAGCTGAAAATTTTTAACAGTTCTAAAGTGTGAAATGCTATTTATCAAAAGCATTTCATATTTAACATGAAACAAAGACTTAGAACAAAGTTGTGGAACAATTTTAAACTTATTCTCACTACAACCTAAAAGTGAGTGATGGCAATGGCATATCATAATACATGTAGGATGCCATTGATAATACAATGTACAAGTAGGAAGCATTTTACATTGGAAATATGTCGAAAGCATTTGCTTTGGCCCCTAAACTTGTCCAAGGTTGTCCCGTCCCAGCTCAGTTACACATTTAATGTACCTCACTCTACAAATCATATCTATTCTATAAAACACGTTGAAGATTTTCGTGATACAGGTGTATCATTCTAGTCACCCATCAACGACCTTTGTTAGATAGGGTCATTGTCCTATACATGTATGTAGAGTGGTTAATCTGACGTATCTTTCGTACGGATATAGGAACGTATTCGTGTTCATTTGAGAGATCAGCGTTAACTGTTAGCCTTATCTGCGTCTTATGCGCCATTGTGTTAACTTGCAGTCAAATATTTTGGCATGGTTATCATTCATATGACTCTCCAAAACAGAACTTGACGTGAAACACAGTATATGGTTACAAAAGATCATCTTTTGTCAGGAACCGTTGGGTTGGAATTAAGTACTAGTAATTACATGTCTTCACAGTTGTTCAGCAAGTTCGACCGTTATGCCGTATATGGTCAACTTGTCGCCCATTGGTTACCGCACCTCGTACGGTGCAGGATAAGGCAGTAGGATGTCCTGAAGGTAGATTTACATTGTCATGCAAATCATACAGCGGTAATGTCTTTTTGACTATATTTGGAAATGTTAGTGGTGCCTCCGTTTTGACACATCGTACCTTCTTCGGTCAAGAGCTACAGGTACTTCCGACAACTCTTCCAGCGAGCACCTTCAATACCCAGGTAATGTGAAATTGCCACTCTTACGCATTGCTCGGTAAAGGTACATTGAAGGACGTTGTGAAATGTAGATTTAGCACCAGTGACATTGTTGCCACATTGCAGTTTGGTATGATCTTGAAGGTAATTAATGTGCAGTTTCAATATTGTTGTACATTTTAATCTCTCAGACATGGGTGTGTGTGTGTGTGTGTAGCTAAAATATCACAGTATGTGTACCCCAGTGGCTCTCATTGTTATAACTATTCCACATTAAAATATAACAATTATAGGACAACAAAGATGCTAAAAGGCATTTGGTAGTAGCATCACCATAGGCCATGTTTTGTAAACAAAGGAGCTTCCAAAGAATAAACCGGATACAAAGTAATGAATGGTTTTGTCCAATACCACAACTTCCAATCGTCTACATACTGTCGTACAGCGAATTTGTCCTTCAAATAGGGCATGCTCTGTAATTGCAACAGGCCCTATAAGGAGGATTGGTATATAATATTTATGGATGGATGCTGTTTTAAGTGAAATCTCGCTCAGTATGTGATGAACTTCACTTTGAAATTCCTACATTCAAAATGTTACGGTTAGCTCAGTGTCCATCCTAACCGACCCTGCCAAGCCTAAGGACAGGGCAAACCTGCCGATAATCTCAGTTGGCAGTAGCGAAGAAGAGGGTACTACAGGTTGTGAACTGTGAACAAGGCGCGAACTGGCCTATTGGCACACATCTATTGAAATGTCGTTTGATTGAATGTTCCCGCCATTTTGTGATACTTACAAAGTGCGCCATATTGCTCCACCGTCGGTGACTCATGTAGCTTCAGGGCAAAGAAGGAGACATGTCTGGGGGCTTCTCTGATCGGACATTTTGTCTTAGCCTGGTACCAGGCCTATAGACCTGAAATAGGTTTGGTAACGAGCCAGGCTAATTCTATATGACTCCTGATGTTTAGTCCTTCTACGAACGATTGCCAATACCACAATAGGTACTAGGTACATTTTGCACTAATAGAAACTCGAAACAAAAGCCTTACTTGGTGTCTCCTACACAGACTATAGACTAATAGGGTGTAGCCTCCTGTGAAATTTCAGGTGTGGTTAATGTGTAACGATTTTAATTCACATGCTTTGAAAGAAATCGAGGAAAAATTAAACACCATGGCTGCAGACATATTTATTCAGGGAGAAGGTTCCAAGGCCAACGAGAAGGCCTCCACGCAAATTGAAATATGCCATAAAAACTATGATAACCTCGACAAAAACTGCCTGATTCTGAAAAAGAAATGTCTGGATAGAAAGGGCCTTTCTATGAGGTAACACTACCTACTAGTATACTATGTTTTGAAACAGTCACTATGGCGTCTGCTTGCCACTAAACCAGATCCCTTCATACATTTACAGGTTTTAAAAACATAACTAGACACCATGGCTGAAGACGATGTTGTTGCTTTGGTTGTGGACAACGGGTCTGGGATGTGTAAGGCCGGCTTCGCTGGGGATGATGCCCCGAGGGCCGTCTTCCCGTCCATCGTGGGCAGGCCACGACATCAGGTATGACTTACAATTACAATTATGCTATTTTTATTTTAGTTTGTCTGGTTGTGCTTGTGCATCAAGATGTGCATATTCTGTGTACACACAGTACTTTCACATAGCAATGTCTAAAACCTTTAAAATGTCTTCACATTTAACCTCCAGGGTGTGATGGTCGGTATGGGTCAGAAGGACAGCTATGTCGGGGACGAAGCCCAGAGCAAGAGGGGCATCTTGACCTTGAAATACCCCATCGAACACGGCATCGTCACCAACTGGGACGACATGGAGAAGATCTGGCACCACACCTTCTACAACGAGCTGCGTGTCGCTCCCGAGGAGCATCCTGTGCTTCTCACTGAAGCTCCGCTCAACCCCAAGGCTAACAGGGAGAAGATGACACAGGTTGGTGTGCGGTCTCTTTTGGCCAAGTTATTGGTAATATATATAGACCCATATTAGGTGCATATTGGTTTCCTTGTTGAAGCAAAATGGCAGCAAACAGACCCACTTTGAACTGTACTGCATACACAAACCGTCAACATCAACCGTCAACATCTCCATTTTCAGATCATGTTCGAGACCTTCAACAGCCCGGCCATGTACGTGGCCATCCAGGCCGTTCTGTCCCTGTACGCCTCCGGTCGGACGACTGGGATCGTGCTGGACTCCGGGGATGGTGTGTCCCACACGGTGCCCATCTATGAAGGCTACGCCCTCCCACACGCCATTCTCCGTATTGACCTGGCAGGAAGGGACCTGACAGACTACATGATGAAGATCCTGACTGAGAGGGGGTACTCTTTCACCACCACAGGTGTGTTCACTGTGTTTTAGTAGATGTTTCTTTGATATTTCAGAATTGGCTTTACACTGACCGGTGGTATATGTTGTACGTATCGCTCAGGTGCTGCTACTATTACTACTACTACTACTACTACTACTACTACTACTACTAGTAGTAGTCGTACTGTCTGGAAGTGTCTAGTAGTAGTAGTAGTGGTGGTGGCAGTAGTAATAGTTGTAATGGTAGTGGAAGAAATAGTAGTAGTAGGCATCCTTCCATCTCGTGTGCAACGTATACGTAGTACACCACACTGAAGTGTGGGATTTATTCAACAGGGGATTTATTCAACCCAAAACCTCTCTCTGTGCAATCTGTGCTCTTTGTTTAGCCGAGAGAGAGATCGTTCGTGACATCAAGGAGAAGCTGTGCTACGTCGCCCTGGACTTTGAGGCGGAGATGGAAACTGCTGCCCAGAGTTCCAGCCTGGAGAAGAGCTACGAGCTGCCTGATGGTCAGGTCATCACCATCGGGAACGAGAGGTTCCGGGCACCTGAGACGCTCTTCCAGCCTTCCTTCATCGGTAACATCCCAGACAATCTTATCTAACATCACAATGCTTTTTCATAGACTGTACTTTCTGAAATTAAACATAAAGTTATCAACTTACAAGTACTTTCTAGTTTCAACATGTTGACAAGAAAATGATCAATATATTAGTAAGTACACACTGCTAGTATGAACCTCGTAATATCTCGTCCTCTGTCAGTATTGCACAACTTGTGGCGTCCTACC